CCATGTCTTTTTTCAGACTCATGCAACTCCTATCTGTTTATATTTGTGTGTTATACAAACACCTGTGTACAGCGATAGCCAGGAACAGTTTTCAAAGAAGACATCTAACCCATAAAAGACATGGCTGCTTTAAAGATTTGAAAAGATACTTTGTTTGTGTTTCCACATGTTCCAAAACTTCTGCTTTGAATGAGAGGCACAGTTTTAAAAAATAACCCACTAAAGGCATTTGTTATACATACTAAAATATCAAATGTGCTGATAGAAACATGAAGGACAAATGGCGCTAAAAAGTCTTGGGGTTGGGAAGAATTTCCTAATCCTAATTTATCTCAAAATCTATAAACTATACTATATTCAGCAACAACTAAGAATTGTTAGCCATGATAATCTTTTAGCCACTGGAAAAAGAAGTATCAACCAGAAAAACTCAGATTTTTAAAAAATCCATTCTTTTCTAATAAAAATAAGAACATAGAAATAAATGTTCACTATATTACTTTGGCACACACTGAGAAAATATCTAAGACATGATACAGACCTCCTTCAAGATTGGTCCATGGACAGTGCTCTAACAGCTGCACCAGAAGGCATGGAAAATTGTGGGTATTCAACATTCTTGTCACAGCACTTACTGGCAAACTGACGAAGTATATGAGAGAAAAAGGATATAATGAACATGTGTACATTATGCAATGAAGCTATTTCCATTCTTTCTCAGGTTTGACAATGTCTTTATTAATGTGCAATAATGTGACAAAATTATAATCCCAATTACATTCATGTTACGATGCCTCCATAATGTTTCAACAATTAAAAGAATTCACATGACTAAATATAAAGCTACATTTTTATACTGAAAAACCACAGAAATAGTACTTTCAACATTGTAGATTATATACAAGATTTACTACTGCTACCGATAGGTAATTGACCCCTGAAAGATCATCTTTACTTTGATAAGAATACCATTAAAACTTTCAAATTTGCTTTTATACCAATGTAAAGGTATGCATATTCAGATTTTTGTCACATTAAACAATAACAAACAAGGCAGAAAGTATGTCCCAATTTTGGAAATGTTAAATGTCTAATATTTATTTTTAGGAGTTTCAAAACTGTAGGATAATTTGGTTGACCATAGCATGTACTTTGTTCTACAAACGGAAGTATATAGTTACATCCTAATTCTGTAACATTTTGATCAATATGAGAACCACTGCCAAAACAAAATCATTATCAAACCATGACCACCAGACCAGACACTGAGAGCAGTTCCCTTTAATGCAACTTTTAATAAAATAAAAGAAATAAAACACAATAACACCATGCTATGGAAATCAAATTATTTTGCTTTAGTAACAATCCCATCACCCACAAGAGGAACTGTGTGAGAACATGATTCAGATGATCACAAATGCCCTGCAGAAAACACCAGAGAAAGGAAGGAGACTGCCTACATAACATCTTTCAACGAAATAAAACTTCAGTAAAAAAAGTGCCTGACCTCT